TCCTCCAATACTTAACCCAGTCCAATAATCCCACCTGGAGTAACTTAAATGTCATCCTTACTTTGACTCTCACCTCCAAAAAACACTTAATATGCTTTTTATCACCCAATCAACCCCAACATTACAAAAAGGTACAAAAATTAAAATCTGTCCCTCAAACTCCACAACAGCAATTAAGCAACCTCACCTTCAAGGTGTTCAGTAACAGGGAGAAATGTGCCTGGCTGCACATCTCAGAACGGCAAACGCTGCCTCCTCCGTAAGACAAACCCCAGCCACACCACCGGCTCACAAAGACTTGAACGCCTTCAGACTGCAGCGCGTCCAGCCACCTCTCCTGGACCTTGCTTCACGTGTCGGAAACCTGGCCACTGGGCCAAGGAATGACCACAGCCCAGGACTCCTGAGCCCTGCCCCGTCTGTGCGGGGCCCCCACAGAACGTCGACCGTCCGACTCATGTTGCTGCTCCCAGAGCTCCTGAAGCTCCAACCCTCGGCTTGGCGGCTAAAGACGGACGCTGCCCGAGCGTCTCGGAAGCCCCTGGACCATCACGGACACCACACTTCAGGTAACTCTTACGTGGAGGGCAAGTCCATCCCCTTCTTAATCAGCACGGAGGCACCCACCCCACACTGCCTTCTGTTCAAGGACCTGTCTCCTTGGCCGCCATGCTGTTGTGGGAATTGACAGCAAGGTCTCCAGGCCTCTCAAAACTCCCCACGTCTGGTGTCAATCAGGCCAGCACTGCCTTCCACGGTCTTTCCTAATCATCCCCACCTGTCCAGTTCCCCTTTTAGGCCGAGATATCCTAGCGAAATTGTCTGCTTTCTTCACTGTTCCTGGGCTACAGCCATGCCTCATTGCTGCCCTCCTCCCCAGACCCGTACCTCCCTCAATAGCTCCCCTATGTCCCCCCACCTTAACCCTAGGGTGTAAAACACCGCCTTCCCATCTGTTGCTACAAGTTACTCACCCCTCCTCATCCCCTTAGAACCTAACCACCCTTACCCTGCCCAGCCCCGTACCCCACCCCACAACAGGCTTTAAAAGGCACAAAGCCTGTTATCACCTGTCTATTGCAACATGGTCTTTTAATTCACCCTCCTGCTTCTTCAGCATCTGTACTCAATGGGGCATCACGGATCCCTTCCTGAAGCCCAAATTTCTTCCCCATCTGTTACGATCTTTCATCAGCATACAGGCGCTTTCCCTGCCAACCGCAACCAGTAAATTTCCCAAACCCCAACCCCTCCACCAAGCAACAGCTTCTCTCCTTCCTGGGTGTGGTTGCTGCTTCACCTCAGGATACCAGGTTTTGCTATTCTAACTGAGTCATTGTATAAACTCACTAAAGAAAACTTATCCAACCGTATTAATCCCAAATCCTTTCCTCGCTCCTCCTTTTGCTCCTTAAAAAACAGCTCTAAAAACTGCTCCCTCCCTAGCCCTCCCCAACCTGTCTCAACACTTTTTCATTCTATACTGCTAAAGTCCAGGGCTGTGCGGTCAGGATTCTCCCATAGGAGCCAGGCCCATGGCCTGCAGCCTTTTTATCCAAACAACTTAACCTCACTGCCCTGGGCAGGCCCTCATGACAACGCCCCTGATACTCTTGGAATCCCTCAAAATCACAGGCTCCGCCCCACTGACCCTCTAGCTCTCACAGCCTCCAAAGTTTCCTCTTTACACCTCACACACTTACATTCAGCCCCTCGCCTTCTCCATCTTTATGCAGTCGCCCCTACTACTTAAAACACACTTCAAAATGTGTTTCAATGCCCCTCACCCAACCCTGCCATCTTAACCCTCCTTGTGATAATGTAAATACTGTACTCATTTACTTTTACATGCCCTGCTTTTATTTAAGTTTCGGATTTACACGTTTCCTCCAGGCAATTACAGCTAATATTTCACTCTTCATCTGGCTCCCATTCTGTGTTCAAACCCAAGCTTGTTAATAAAAGTGGCTGCTTATGAATACCACATGCTTCCTCATACACCACAGAAACAAAAGCTCTCCCTCACACAGTTAACCTCCTTTAATACTATCTTTCTCCTTCTCTTATTTAAACCCTGTGTTTTTCCAATTAATCTCTCAATTCCTACAAAATCGTATGCAAGTGATAACCAATCAGTCAATATGACAAATGCTCCTAACAACCCCACAACATCACCCCTTTCCCCCAAATCTCCCAGCAGTCTAAATTCTTTCCTACTTTTAGGTTTCCACCCCGCCCCCAATCCCACTCCAAGAAGCCTTGAGAAGCTTTGCCCCCACTCCCTAAAACCTGTGATCATCCCCTCTTCTCTAATTCTTTCCCTCTATATATAGAAAGACAGGTATGTCACATCTCCATATGCAAGCCTGGAGCCTGAAAGTCCTGCCTGCCTGGGCTGATGTCTCCCACCCCCGCCTGTGTTCATCCCTCACCCAACCCTGCCATCTTAACTCTCCTTGTGATAATGTAAATACTTCTCACCCAATCCTGCCATTGTAACTGAACTTGTGGTTGTGTATAATCCCTTGCCCCCACCCCCCACCACTGTAACTGAACTTACTCTGCAGCACCCCCAACCCCCAAAAAACTACCCAAACCTATAAAACCAACTCCTATCCCACTGCCCTTTGCTAATGCCCTTTCCAGCCTTAGCCCACCTGCACCCAGGTGAATAAACAGTCATATTGCTCACACAAAGCCCATTTCGAAGGTCTCTTCATTCAAAGCACGAGCTTTTCAACACAAATGGAGAGAGGCCTTTGCCAGTGGGAGTACAGGCCCTCAGTGCTGGGCATGGGGTTGAAGGAAATGCCCTGAATCCCTTCCAGTTCCTTTATTCTCTGACCTCTGGATCCTTCTGACGCCCAGCTAAATGCACGTCTCTCCTTACCTTGGCCGTCTTTCTAAATGGGCATGTGGTCAGACTATTTCTCAGGAACACACACTCAAAGTGCCCCCTCTTCTTCTGCAGAATTTGGAGGTCTGTGCACAATACAGGCTCCCCTGCAGGACCCCCAGCAGCAAACTCAACTTCCTAGGCTCTCCACCCTTCTCCATCTGGCCAAAGGTCATGAGTGAACCCCAACAGAAGCTGTGGACACTGTGTGATAGTGCGTGCGCTTGGAGGCTCATCCACTGAACCACTGTTCGCTTCAGCGGGGATGGCAGTAGCTGTCAGCCTATGTGTAGGGGACATGTGGGAAACCTCCGTTCCTTTCTCTCAATTTTGCTCTGAATCTAAAACCCTGCTAAAAAAGTTAAATCTTAAAGAAACAGGATGGAGACAAACTCATCAGATACAATACACGAACTTTGAAACAATCCTAGATTTGGGGACAAAAACAAGAAAAGAAATTCTCTCTGGGGCGATTACGGAACTGTAAGTAGAGGCTATATATGAGATGGTATTATGCATATTCAATCCGGGCTCATTTCTTAGGTGTGTGTGATCACAAATAGTGCTGCAGTTATAAAGGTAAATAAAGGTGCATGTGGAAGTGCCGCTCAGTGACAGCATTTCCACAAGGAGCCACAGTGGTGCTGCCAATTTTTCTTTTTTTTTTTAATGATTTACATTGATATCAGATCGAACTCAAAGAAACTAGAGAAAGAAATGACTAGCTCATCCCTAAGGCCCCAGCTAAAACAGCACTGTCTCCACTGATCTTTCGCCAAGACATAAATAATTTTCCTTCAAGACCATCAACCTTGCAAGTGGCTCAGGAAGCATGCATTTCTCCTTGTTGGCTAAAAAAAAGATGCCATATGCTTTTGCCATCATAGAGTCAGTCTAGCAGTGGGACTTTTCCATAAGTAGAGCTAGGACATGGCCACTTCTTTAAGTAAATTATAAATCCTGGCCTTATATTTAACATATTTATATTTAATTTTTTAATGAGCAATATTTTCCATGTTTTAAATAATTTCTTGTTTTAGTAACAAGTGAAGAAGGGTAACCAAGTTGTTCGCCTTTTAGTACCTGCAGCTGACTGTGCATGTCTGGTACCTGAGGCCTCAGGAAATGCAGAGAATTTTGTTTAAATGTAAACTTGCTGGTTTACTGGACTTACATTGTTATCTCTCTGTAAATGGTACAAGGCTCCAGTATGACGACGGGGAAATCAGTTGTATTTAGTATCACCAGTCAACAGCCAAAATCCCTAAAGCTACCTTACCAACCTTGTACTTGCTATTTATAGCAGCATACAGTCTCTTTCTAAAAAAATTTGAAACATGCAATTGAAAAATCACATCTATATTTAATTAACATGAAACCAAAAAACTATGTTGACTTTAAAAGACTGGACTGGATTAAAATTATCTACACAGAGGATGTATTATGTATTTTAAATATTCCACTTATAAATTTAATTTCTATTTAACGTCACACAAAAGAAACTTTATTTTGTGATTTTATGAGATTTTCAAGAAAAATATTTTAGTTGATTTAATATTTTTTCATTCAGCACCACACAAATCCTCAGAGACAAAACCTTATAGGAAACATGACCTTTCCATAACATGCACGTTCATCTTCTCCCTTTCAAAATTGTCAATTATCCCAGTTGCTTAGTTCCCAGCATCTTTAAAGAGAATGAATTATTTATGCAGGTGGTTGCTGAAAATGAAACACCATTCAAAGTTTAAATTAAAGAATTATAAGAGCTTGGGGAATTCCTATGCCCAAATATCATGGGGTCATCTTCATTTTAAAGATCGTGGCTTTTAATATTATCAATTTTATGACAGGATACAGAGCAAGGTTTCTGGGATGCTTCAGCAACTTCACCATGCCTCAGCAATTTTCTAAACTAACCAATGTATTGCAAACTATTATTGAGATAAAAAGGTTTAGTCATATAACATTACAAATTATAGCATCATGTTAATTTGCATAGTTTTTCTTCACATTAATTTTATTGTATGGCTTGCTCTTTAGAAACTGAGCATCTTAAACTCAAAATAGTTCAGTTTATCTACTGAGTTGCATTTGTGGGGGGGGGGCGGGGTTATCATTTTCCATGACATAAAGTTCATGCACTTCCAGACTGCTCACTCACGTATCAAGTTCCTGCTTGATGTCTGCACTTGGACATCTCATGGAGAACTCAACAGGCTCAGAACTGAACGTCCAACTTCCCCACCCTCGGTGACTGCAGGCAGCGAAGACTCATTTCTCATCCATGGAAGCTGCGCAGCTGTCAGCAGAGGGCTCTGCTCCACGCAGTCACTCAGGGTCTTATTGCTGCACAGTCATTGGTGAGGCTTCTGAGGTCTCTGCAAGGGGAAGAATGAAACAGGGAAGGTACGCTGGCTTCCACCTGCTTCTGCCTGGAGATGATGTGAGCTATTTCCTCTCGGTCACCATCCACAGACCAGATCAAGTCTTGGGATGGAGCCTGCAGTGAGGGAGGTGGGACACAGAGGTACTTGCGTGCAGTGCCTTTGGGCACTCGCTACAGGACCGTGAATACCGTCTGCAACGTGAACCCCCACCCCAGGTGCTGCAGCACCTCCCTCAGCTGCTTATGCAAATGTTTTGAGTTAATCACCCATCTCTTTCTTTCTTTCATACCCTAATCTAATTCCTCAGAAAATCCCAACGGACCCACTTTCACACACAGAAAGCAATTCCTATGATTGCTGCTGCCAGACTGGCCTGAACCGTGCAGACACCCCTTCTGACTTGGGCAGGTGCCACCTTGCTAGCCCAGCCCTTCTCACTCGAGAAGCCGGACAATCCTCTTTAAAAAGTGCTGGATCCCATCACTTCCTTGCTTAAAATCCTGCGAGGCTTCCTGATTCACCCAGATGCTCCCAGGTAAGAGCTGCCAATGCCCTCTTGGGTCCTGCGAGGGCCTCAGGAGGTCCTGCCTATCCACCATTCCCACCACTGCCCCCACTTTCCTGTGTCCTTGGCCCACAGGCTCTTCCCTGTTCTTTAGCCATGGGGGAGACATCCCTGTCAGAGCCCCCACCTGCTGTTCTCTTTGTATGAATTCTGCTGTCCCAGTGCCTCCCGCAGACCTCCTGCCCGGACACCAGGGTACCCACAAGGCCGCCCTCCTTCCCAGACAGCAGAGTATCCACAAGGCCGCCCTCCTTCCCGGACAGCAGGGTATCCAGAAGACTTCCCTCCTTCCCGGAC